GGCCTCTCATCCTTTTGTCTTGACTCCCTAGTCTCACCTTTCAACCAGACTTTCAGTAACCATCTCCTTTCTTCAATCGAAGTGACGTTCGAATGACTTCCCTAGACAATCCTTCGAATGGGCCAAATTAATGCTCTTGGGATGGAAGGCTCAATCGAAGCTTGCAACGCTGGAGAAGTCACTCCCCCAAACGAAAAAAAACGTGCAAGGGTAGGATGTGTGATCGAAAGTGGGCAAAAGAGAGGCTTTTTCCTCCTGGATCGAAGGACACCATCAAGAGGGTTTTTGCCTTGTAAATGAAATAGATTACAAGAGGCTCTTTTCCTTGTGAATCCAAACCAAACTGTGTCAGAGGCCCATGCCCAGTCGAAAGATGCAAATCAAACTTGTATCAAAAGAGGCCAAAAAAGCCAATCGAAAGAGCTGAAACGAAGGACACTTGTTTTTTATCCAAATTTGCCAAAATATTAATTTTATCTGTTTTCCCCCTTTTTGACAGTTTCCTTTTGGTATTGGAAAATCCAACTGCACTTGTTCAAGCTTGAACCTTTGAAAATCCTTGTGAGAAAGGCCTTGAGAAATGAGAGGGCAAATTCTGGGGTACAACACACTCCTATACCAATTATTGTGGCCAATTTTCCCTGTATCAAAAACACCTAAAAAGCAAGCATATGAACCCTAGAATCGGGCATCACAATACATGGCATAAAAACAAAATTGAATATTGCAGTCATGTTAGAAATCAAATAATAAACATGAATATGCCAATGTTTTGAAGAAAAAGTGCAAGAATTGGAAGTTGGGATTCCATGTTCAGAGGTCAATTCGTGACGATTTACAGTGCGCTGTAGGTGACGAAAAATGCCTGGTTTTTATTCCAATCGCTTCAGGGGATGGCAATCAAGAACTCCACGTTGATTTTCTTGATTGAAACAAGCTCTAACCAAGAATTCGATTTCTCTCTTTTTCACCTTTTTTTCAGTTTTGGTATGACCGTTTTAACAGAGCTTAGGTCCTGAATTAGGTTTGTGCTGCTTGTGTATGTATAAGGCAATGTTTTTAGGTCAAGAATTGGGCCAATATCCATGTACATTCAAGGTTTAGGATTTGACTTTATCACCATTGTTAACCTTTCCAAATATGGCCAAATCTAAGATTTTGTGCACAAATAAGCCTTAGCACGAATTGGTTGGTTGTCACATGAGGTTTGCAAGCTGTACAAATCACAAAGATCCCTTTTCAATAATTTTTGGATTTTATTTGATTTAATATTGATTAATAATGAATTAAATCAATAAAAATGAAATAAAATAGAAAAATAAATGTTTGGTCATGAAAGTAAGCATGGGACACGTGTGTGGCAAGACAAGACTAGATCAAATGGAAAAAAGTGGGCCCTTTTGTCAAAAATTAGAGTTTTGAGGATAGTTGACTTTTGGCAATTTTGGAAAAATGCCCAACTTCAACAATGCATAACTTCTTCAATTTTGAACTTTTGGAGGTGTTCTTGGACTTTTTAGAAACCTTGAGATATCTTCTAATCAACCCTTTTGGTCTCATCTCATTTTGATCTTCCATTCTCAAGTTATAAGGTTTGGCAAAAAGGTGTTTTTGTTGACTTTAAAAAATGACCTATAATGTCCAAATTTGTAACTTCTTGTGAGTGCATTTTCTGATCTTGGGGTATGAATATGTATTGTAGGAAATTGCATCCTCTTCAAAATGAGATTTGGATGGGTCATTTCTCATAAAGTATGAGAAAGTTATGCTTGGTCAAAGTTGAGTTGACTTTTCATGCAAAACCCTAATTTAGCAACTTTTGAATCTTGATGAATTTTGAGCAATCCTTGATGAATCATGATCAACCCTTGATCAAATGATGAATTATCCTTCAAAATGAGAATGTTGAAAAAAAATTCCGACTTTTGACTGTAAAATGACCATTTTACCCTTGCAGTTGACTGTAGATCAAATGGGGCTTTTGATTGTGCAAATTGGCACTGTGAGTCTTGAAACTTGGCATGTAGGTGCTTGAGAATGTACATAGGCCTATGAGACTTGATTGAACCATTGAAAATCCCAAATTCCTTGAAAGCACCAAAACCCTAATTTCAGCTGTCTACTGCTTAGGAGATGGTTTGACTGTCTAACTCTTGAGCAATCTTGAACCATTTGGAGATGATTCTTGACATATCTTGAGGAATATGGGAGGGCAAATTATGGGGTACAACACATACAATAATTCTGCAAATGTTTGGCATGACCCTCCTTCTACGCATGTCTATTGCGTTAGACATATCGTCCTAAATTTCACGAGGGAGATCAAAGACAAAACACTTAGGAAAGCGGTTATGAATGCAGGATATGCATTGACACAACCTACGTTCAAGTATTATCGCAACGAGATCCGTTTGTCAAATCCGAAAGCTGGTAGGTGGATCGATAATATTCTAGTAGAAAAATGGACTAGGTCATACGACAATGGACAAAGACGGGGCCACATGACAACAAATCTAATTGAATCGATGAATGGGGTATTCAAAGGCATACGAAACCTCTCGGTCACTGCTTTGGTTAAATCAACATATTTTAGGATGGCTTCGTTGTTTGCCAAAAGAAGTGAAATGTGGAATGCGGTGTTGCAATCTGGACAACTATGGAGTGAAAGCTGCATGAAGTATATTAAGGCAGAAAGTGTCAAAGCCAACACCCATATGGTTATACGGTTTGACCGACACAACCACAACTTCATTATCAAAGAGACAATTGACCATAACGAGGGCCTGCCAAGACAAGAATATAAGGTTGTACTACATTCTCGTTGGTGCGATTGTGGCAAGTTTCAAGCCCTTCGTATGCCTTGCTCTCACGTCATTGCCGCGTGTGCCTATACTCATCAAGACGCGCTACAACTTCTGTCACACATTTACAAATCTGAAACGTTGCTTAACGTTTACAACAACAGCTTCTCTTTGGTAGCAAAACCAGATTATTGGCCTGCATACGACGGCGAAATAGTATGACACAATGACCAAATGCGAAGGAATAAAAAGGGTCATCTCAAAAGTAAGCGCACCACAACTGAAATGGACTCCCTTGACAAGCTGGAAAGAAAATGTGGTTTATATCGTCAGGTCAGACACAATCACAAAAATTGTCCGAGTCGAGCTACTGCCTCAACAACATAAAAATTGTATTACAAAAAATCTTTCCTTTATTATGTTGTAAACATTAGAGTTTTTCGTTAACAGTATTTGTTACCATAAACATTGCGCGAACAAGAAAAAAAACACGATAAACCGTCTACGAAATTATAACCGTTAAAACAATTTCATTTGACCCATGCATCATCAATATTACGTCGCTGTCTGTTTTGACTTCCTCCAACAAAAAATTAGGTCTTCCTGTCACAAGTGAGGTTGCTGTTCGTCTTTGCTGGATCCTTCTAATTTCCCCCCCTCCACGATGTCTCCCTCTAGCCATCGCATCAACTCCCTCTTCAGACGCTCCATGGAGTGAATGTGCCAGAATTTCATTTTCATCGGAGGTTTTGTGGCAGAGAAGATAACGTAACCATCTCTGATAAAAATCATGAGCGATGTCATGACGCAAATAAAATAGTAAAGAAATAAGAAAACAGTGCGAGAAAGTGTGAGAAATGACAGAGAAACAGACAAATTATTTATAAAAACAACATTTTGCCCTAGGAGCCAAGTGAGATGGCGCCTCCTCTCACTTTTAAAGTGCATGCACCATCTCACTTGACTAAAAGAGAGAGGAGGCGCCAAGTGGGATGGCGCCTAGGACAAACTTGTGAGTGGAGGTGCCAAGTGAGATGGCTCCTCCCTTAGAGAGTCTTCTGAAACATGATTATTTGCGTAATTTTTTCCGAAACATGATTATTTGCGAATTTTTTTTTTAATACATGGTTATTCTAAAAAAAAATTCATATATAGATGTCGGTAAAGTTTTGTTGTTTAAATTAATGTGATTATTAAAGTGAGGGTTTTATTGAAAAGAATAGTTATACTAATAGAAGGACTAGAGGGTAATTTCATCTCTACACCCAAACCATACAGCAAAACAAGACTCCGTGTCGTTTTTCATCACAACACATTAACGACGTCGTTTAATAACACTTGATATATACTAGTGCTGCAAAGGCACGCTTCATACTCATCGAATCCACAATTCCAGATTTCTGCTAGGGCTCGCCTCTTCTCTCTCGCACTCTCTTCGAGGCCTTCTCTCAGATTTGCGCCGCTACGGTACGTACATAATCGTGATTTATCTATATAATTTGTTTGATGTATGTTTGTGTGTTAGTATTATTAGTATACGAAATTGTGTTTATAAGTTGCTGATTTATTTTATTTAATAATTAGGGGTTTTACTGTGATTTGTGTTCTGTGAGAATTTGTTGATTGAGCTGGGATCGTCTGATTTAGGGTAAATTGTTAAATGGATTTAATTTGGATTGCTTTTCATCTGATGTATGGTCTAAATTTATAAATTGATCTGTGATTATTAGCATCGATTGATGTCCAAGTGTAATGCTTTTTTACTGAATTGTTTCTGTCATGGTTTTATATTGTGGCCGTGGATGCTATTGCCGCGCATTGCGGTAGATGTGGTGTGGATTATGATTGAGAGGTGTTTGAAATACAATCTTGAAAAACACTTGATGTTAAGATTTTTCATATAATTGATTTTTGGGATTCAATGAAAATACTTGAAAAAACATGGGTCGGATGCTTGATCTTAATTCACACCGCAATTGCGGAGGCTACCAATCTTGCGGTGGCAATTGCGGTTACCATGGTTGCCAAGTGTAATTTTTTAATTGAATCCTCCTAGTGTTAGTATACTATGTTTCATGTTTGATACTATTTTTTGCCCATGCATCAAGTTTATGTTTCTCAGTTTTCATTTATGTGGAGATAGCTTATTTATTGTCTTTTGTATTTCTTTCAAGGTTGTTAGTTCCTTATTGTTCAGAGATGGCTGATGCTCATGATACTGATAAGAACATTGAGGTGTGGAAAATCAAGAAATTGATCAAGGCTCTTGAAGCTGCCAGAGGAAATGGGACGAGTATGATTTCCCTTATCATGCCCCCACGTGATCAGATAGCTCGTGTAACCAAGATGCTTGGCGATGAGTTTGGAACTGCTTCAAACATCAAAAGTAGGGTGAATCGTCAGTCTGTGCTTGGTGCAATCACCTCTGCTCAGCAGAGGCTTAAGCTTTATAACAAGGTTCCTCCCAATGGGCTTGTTTTGTATACTGGCACAATTGTGACTGATGATGGAAAGGAGAAAAAGGTGACCATTGATTTTGAACCGTTTAGACCTATCAATGCTTCTCTCTATCTTTGTGACAACAAGTTTCACACTGAAGCTTTGAATGAGCTCCTGGAATCTGATGACAAGTTTGGATTTATTGTCATGGATGGTAATGGTACTCTGTTTGGGACCTTGAGTGGTAATACAAGAGAGGTGCTTCACAAGTTCAGTGTGGATCTTCCAAAGAAACACGGAAGAGGAGGGCAATCAGCCCTACGTTTTGCCCGTCTTCGGATGGAGAAGCGTCATAACTACGTGAGGAAGACTGCTGAGCTTGCAACCCAGTTTTATATCAATCCTGCTACCAGCCAGCCTAATGTTTCTGGATTAATTCTTGCTGGTTCTGCTGATTTCAAAACTGAGCTTAGTCAGTCAGATATGTTTGATCCCCGTCTTCAGGCAAAAATACTTAATGTTGTCGATGTTTCATATGGAGGGGAGAATGGGTTCAATCAGGCTATTGAACTTTCAGCTGAAATTCTGTCCAATGTCAAGTTTATTCAGGAAAAACGCTTGATTGGAAAATACTTTGAGGAAATCAGTCAGGATACGGGGAAGTATGTATTTGGCGTTGATGATACTCTTCAAGCTCTGGATGCAGGAGCTGTTGAGACACTTATTGTATGGGAAAATCTGGATATGACTAGGTACGTTTTAAAAAATAGTACTACTGGTGAAGTTGTCATTAAGCACTACAACAAGGAGCAGGAAGCCGTCCAAAGCAATTTTAGAGATCCTGAGACCGCCGCTGATTATGAGGTTCAGGAAAAGCTGTCTCTGTTGGAGTGGTTTGCAAATGAATACAGACGGTTTGGTTGCACTCTCGAGTTTGTTACCAATAAATCGCAAGAAGGTTCACAGTTTTGCAGAGGTTTTGGTGGGATTGGTGGGATCTTGCGTTACCAGCTTGATATGAGAACATTTGACGATTTTTCTGATGATGGAGGCGTGTATGATGATGATGAATAGCAATCAATGAAATACTTCCTACTACTGGGGCAGGAAAGGGAGGTCAAAATACCTGCACCAGTATGGGAGGTGGCTGCACGTGCTGCTGCTCCTCCTCCTCTTCCTCCTCTTCTGTCTGGGGTGTTGCATGGAAAGTTTGACTGCAAAATGAGGTTAAATTTTAATGCCTTTTCTGCATCATTTTTTAGCATAAATTTTTCTATTGTACTTGATTGTCTATATTTGTTGTCAAATTTCTTCCTGTAATTTATTTTAAGTTGTAATATTTTCCTTAAACTTTTTGTTTGCGTTGTTTTTCAGCTGCTTTACTCCAAAAGTGCTGTCTGGTATGAATCACTTCCTTACTTGTCCTCCTATCGTTCGGTCTCTGGCACAACAAACTTCCGCAACATTGCTGGCAACAGCTGATGAAAACCTGTCATTTCCTAGTAAGTTTAGTTCTGTTTTTATAGTGTTATTCCTTATTCATTTGCCCGACATCTCTCTAAAAATTGCTGTATCATTTAGCTCCTCCGCGATCTGCTTGTATTCAGAAGGGAAAAAACAAAGTCATCTTTCCAAAAGAACAAAACCTAGCATCAATGAAGGTCAGACCTCTTAATAAGTTATATAACATATGTCAATACACATGCTTTTAAACTTTGATCGCTAATAATTTAGCTTTAATTATTATAATTTGCTTATTATTTTATTCATTCTTAATATGCTTTTTGTCAAGTGTAGCTCCATTTGACAGAAAAACCATTTTTTTTCTTCTTTCTAATCTGGGAATTGACTGGCCCACGTCTCTTCAGATTTGGGCATACTGATATTTGATACAAATCTTTGCCGTATCCCAAACCTAGAAAAACAATAATAATACAAGTTTTTTTTGGGTCACTTAAGGAAAAATTATTTCTATATTGTAGTTATGATTGCAGAGTTCTTTCTACGGTGTGCTGTATGGTAGTTTTATATTCTAGCTCCCTTTTACCAATGTAGTCTTTTGGGTGATATCTTAAACTAACTGAATATTCTAGCTCCCTTTTACCAATGTAGTCTTTTGGGTGATATCTTAAACTAACTGAATATTCTTGTGTGTTGCAGTCTTTGTTGAACTGGTCTGCTGTATATGTAACCTAGCTCAGCTTCTATGAAGAAGCAGCCTGCTCACTAAGTTATCAAGGTGCATTTTACTTTTACCTCTTTCCATCAAATGATGTTTTAAGGATATAGTACAGGTCTTGGGTGTTTGATGGTGAATAGCAAATAGTTCCAAACTTATAAATTGGATGGAAAATAAATTAGCTAGTTTCTTTGTGTTGAGTGCTTTGCTGTAATAATTTCTACCAACTTATAATTTACATGCTGATATTGATTTCTATTTCTAATATAGTCCATGAAAGTGGATGACCATTTGAAATTTGATAATGATTGGGAAATGTTTTTTTTTCTGGATTAATTTACAGAATCTAATTTTGTTTAAATTTTTTTTGTAAGCTCCAAGGTTTGTTTTTGTTATATTCTCCTCACGAATGATAAATGTTTTACATGACATACTTTTGCTAGAAGAATGTTTACACCGACACCATGCCATAGTTGGTTCTAGTATTCTTTTTACTATGCAGCATGTCCATTTTACATTAGATGCAATAAGCTTAAGCATTGTTTGAAATTTCAATATCCTATCACTATATGCCGTGAGGCATTTCTTGTCTCTATTCCCGAACCAAGTTGAATAAATGCATAACATGGTTTTGTAGGTGAACGAGATATTTCGTTGTATGCCTTTCTTCAAGGATAATCAAGCCTATGCACGCCACATCAATGCTTGTGTCTCCTACTATATCATATGTGCCTCAGTCATGCTTTTGAAACTTTCAATACATTGAACTGTGTTTTATTTTATTATTGGTACTGTACTCATGGTTTGCTTTTATTCCTAGTGTGGTTTGTATAATAGATTGCTTAAAGGTGTTATGTTATGAAAACTTCAGTTATTCAAATTAAATTATATTTACACCATTTCCCTTATTTGACTTTGAAATACGACTGGAATTTGTTAGAAATTCACTAGGCGAGTGAGTTTGAATTATTTAGTATAATGGTGTAAGATATCTGCAATATTATTCTAATGAGTTTGCATCAATTGCAATGTTATGCTAGGCTTTAAATAACATTTTTAAAACTCAGACAATGGAGTATTAATAATAGGCCTTTTCCGCACAATTTAAAGTCAGAAAATAATAGACCCAGATGAAAGGAAAGATGAAAGTGAGTTCTGTATTATTTAGGAATGGTGTAAGACATCTGCAACTATGCATATGATTCTAACACGAGTTCTGATTGCAATGTTATGCGTTGGTTTCTTATTTTATCAACTATGTTTATTTTAGAGAGCCATGTTTAACTTGTAGTTAGTATGTCTACGGGTAAATATTCTCAAGTATAGCCAGACAATACAAAGTGTTCTGGCATCTGAGACCACGTTTGATGTATATTGTTTGTTTTGGTTGAGGAGCTCTCAAAAATGTCTTGTAAAAATGTCTCGATTTTCAAGTAGTGAGATTTTAGTCCTAATCTATGATATAATGGGTTGGCCACACTTGTGTGTGGCCTAGTTCTGCACTTCTATATAATGGCAATGATTTGAGATGGATCTTGAATAATGGCAGACTTTGTTTGTGCCCTACGATTGTTCTCTCTTTGGAGAGGTTTGTTGAAGATTGAGGTTAATGAGAGCTAATTAAGATGTCGTGATTCTTTGAAGATTTTAGGAGGGAATAAAGACTTTACAAGTTAGACACTCCATTTTATCCAAAAATAATCTGTCTGAAATATTTTAAAGATGTACTTCTGCAACCTTCCTTAAAAGATAGTGGATACCGCATTTGAAGGTGGGGCTGGAACCTATAATGGAAAACCCAGAAGGAAGGTAGTGATTGCGGATTCCCGAGAGATACTGAAAAACTTCCTCATTTTGGTGGCTAACAACTGGCATGCTTTGGTTATAGTTTTCTCATATTGAACCTCTTGGATTCCCGAGAGAGATACCGAAAAGGCAGTAGCCTTTTCGGTATAGCATGCTGAGTTGGCCAAACTGAGTTTAATTTATGTATAACATGTTTACAAAACCATGATTTGGTTGGATTGTGTTAAATGTGATTCTGGGTCTAGAATCTTGATTTTATAGGAAATGAGAATAGATTATTTCTCCAAATCATGGTTTACAAGACACAACCAAACGTTCCTTTTGTAGAGTAATTGTAACCAAAAATTGATTTTGATTTCATAGCTTACTATACGTGTGTATTAATTCTTTAGGCATTGGAACTTGAAGCATTCAAGCCAGTAAAGAGATAAAGTGTGTCAAAATCAGGTGTCCATGGTGCTGGGCACTTGATCATCTTACGGAAGTGTATTTCCGCTTCCCGAAATATTTCAAACTGATTTGGAGTAAAATGGACGGCCGATGTGTGTATTTTAGAAGCATTTCGAAATATATTTTTGATATTAAACAACATTTTTAATTTTTCAGGAGGGTGAATTAGTATTCCATAGGGTGGATAAAGTAACACCCTTCAATGATTGATGTATATAATGATGGGCTTTAGATAATTGATGTGTATGTTGATGGGCTTTAGTGGTAAAGTTCATTTTGGATGGGTCTTAGCCGAATCAGAAACACTGTTTTGTCTTTGAGGAATTAACATCTCACTCCTCAAATTATACATATCATCCCCTATATTTCATTATTTCCAAAATGTTTCCAAATTCACTAAATTCACCATTTACTCTAAAAAATTTATATTTGTCAATTTTTTTTTACTATAGGTCAAAGTTGGTCAACACAAAATTTCTGGTATGCTGACCATATTTTTGGTACCCCAATTTTGGTGTATATTGGAAATACTTTGCATTACGCAAATTTCTGGTTGCGAAAAACTGAAAATTTCTAAATTTTCGGGTGCGATTCACCGAAAGTTTCAAAGTTGTCGGGACGATTTTCAAAAGTCCTTACATAAATTGAAAATTACGCAAATTTCTGAAAGGTAGCGTAACACCGAAAATTTCAAATTTTCATATAACCAAAATTTTTGTTTATGTCTGAAATTTTCGATATGCCTGCAGATGAAATCTCGTGCATTTGTGGTTCAGAGCCGACAACTTCAACTTCTTCTATAGATTTATGTATTGATGTTACATAGTTTTTCACCACAAATACCACATATTTTCTATTGAATTTGTACATTATTATTTGTTTGTCGATCTTAAGTAAATTGATGAAATTTACTAATTATATGTTGTTCTAATTAATATATTTTTGAATTCCGACCTAAAGTTCTAGAATGAGCACAATCTATTGGTAACAAACCTGATATTGTTGTTGTTACAATTCGTTCTGATTCGGCTAATAGAATACGAGGGAGGAAGGATAAATTGATTATTGATTGTGATAGAGGAAGACATTTCAAAAGAAAAAAGGAATCTGAATCCACCTATGATGGCATCTATACTATGAAAGTTAAATGCCCCTTTAGGCTGAGATCTGTTTTAAATGGTATCGGTTGGAATGTGATGGTTAGATGTGAGATGCATAATCATATACTAGATAAGAGCTTGGACGACTATGACATATTAGGACGTCTAAAAGATCATGAAAAAAAGTTTGTGAATGATGTGACAAAGTATAATATGGAATCAAGGTACATTATTTCTACTTTGAAAGACAAAGATCCATAATATCTCACGAGTATTATCCAGGTATATAGAGTTAGAGCAACATACAAATTGAGCAAGAGAGGTGCAATGATTGAGATGCAAATGTTATTGAGTATTATTCACCAAGATAAATACACGTGTTTGACTAGAAATAGAGAAAATTTGGCAATTGTGGTTGATATCTTCTGTACACATTCTGGTTTTGTGAAGTTGTTGAATATGGTGTTAATTTTTGATTGCACATACAAGACAAATAGGTAAGAATTTACTTCTTTTATCCTAAAATATGTTGAGTGAGCTGGATGATTATGTGAGTTTTAATCGTGCAGGTCCTGGCTACCACTGTTGGAGATTATTGGTGTTACATCAACAAAATTGACGTTTTCAATTGCCTTTGCCTATTTAGAACATGAAATAGAGGAGAACTACATATGAGCACTACAAAAGCTCAAAGAGTTGTTCTATTCATATAAATTGCTTTCGAATGTTGTGGTGACGGACCGAGAATTTGCATTAATGAATGCCATGGATTCCGAGTTTCCAAATACAACTCATAAGCTGTGTACGTTTCATATTTCAAAAAATGTGAGCATGAACTGTAAAGAGTATGTGAAATCAGAAAGACAAGAACATGTCATAGATCAATGGGACAACATCATGTATTCAAATACAAAAGATGAGTTTGATGTACATTTCAAGTACTTCGAGAATGTTTATGGTGATATTTCATCCTTTGTCAAGTATGTGAATGAAACATGGTTAACACCATATAAAAAAAGATTTGTTGCTGCATGGACTAACAAAGTCATTAATTTAGGAAACACAACAACAAACAGGTATTCAAATCGTGATAGTTTGATGTCATTATTATACATGTTTATGTTTCGATAATAATTTATAACATGTTATTATATTTATGGATTTTAGGGTGGAGTCTGCACATCAGAGACAAAAACTTGTTGACTTCAAGTCGTGGTGATTTATGCTGAAGTTGGGATGCTATGAACACCATGTTGAAGTTGCGGCTAGGTTTCATCAGAGTATCATTTCAAAAAAGTATCGTCAATATTGAGCATCGATATAACACCCAATTCTATGTTAAGTTGCACAATTTTGTCTCAAGACAATGTATATAACTCATTGGGAAGGAATTAGAAAGAATAAAATTTGTTAGTTCAAGCAAGGAGATAATGATCCAAAAGATTCTTCTTTGATGTAGAGTCATAGTCTTTCAGATATTTGAACATTGTCTTCAGATATACAAGCAACAACTTATCTGATGGACAACTTCTTTGAGTGAAAGCTCTTATGATCTATTTCGTCTTGATTCTTTGATAATCAACTTTTTCTAAGCTGCATATCTGATATCTGATTTCTTAAGCAACAACTTATATCAGTACATCTGATTTTGACGTTGAATTCCTTCTTTCTGATCTCTTGAAATTTAACCTTTAGATTGAGTTGAAAGCAACAACTTATGTCAGCTACATCTTGTTGTCTGATCATGATCTCTTTTCTTTTCTTTGGAAGCGTATATGTTTTCTAATCTGAGAATGACGCTTTCCTGAGAACATACTTAATTCTCTTTCTAATGAATATTCAACATTCCTTAGAAATGATGATGTTTTTATATAAATGGTCTCAATAGTTCTTCTGTTGAGTGTAGTGGTACTTGTCATAATATTTATCTTCTGATAAATATTACTTTTGCTGAGTAGATTCACTTGAAAAGATACCATCCTTTGATCTTGTCTTCCGATGGACTTTGTGATGTTGATTAGAAATGAGTCCAGAAAATCTTCTTTTCTTTGATCCTTTCTTCTGATGGAATATTTTTGATGTTGAATGAAGGTGCGTATTCAATGAACTCTCTGAGTCTTCAGAGTCTTGACGTTGTCTTCAGAAATATGAGCAGCAACTCTTCTGATGAGCAAATCTTGACTTTTGATCTTGGAGTAGAAGCTTTCTCTTTATGTGTTCAGAATTTTGACTTCGCCTTTAGAATCTAAGCAGCAGCTTGTTGCATTCAGACGGCAGTTGACGCTACTAACTTCGACAGAATTTCTCATGTTGAAACGATGT